CTCCTATGGATCGTGTGCCAGATTTCATGGCCCAGTTCCTTCCTGAAGAGCTTCTTTTTCTTCTACTTGGAAACATCTCATGGTCCACCATGGAGAAGTTCCTCCCTGGGGCTGTGGGTGCTCCTCAGCCCTGCCAGCAGGTCATCACAGCCCCTGGGAGCACTCGTTTCTCTGCAGTGACAACTCTCCAGGCTCAGCTTTGTTCCAGCAGGGAAACAAATGATGGAGAGGGATAGAAATTTTTCTTTAACCTGACCCAGTTCAGGGTATTTTGGGTGACTTCTCCCTCTTCCTACAGCTCTCTGGAATTACCCAGATGGGAATGAGCTTTGGTAATTCAGTCTGTAATGGGGAACAACTTCAAAGTGGGGTTGTGTGGGAATGGTGTGGGTGAAGTTTAAGCTCAGTGTGGAAACTGAGTGAAGTAGAAGCTCAGTGTGGAAATTGAGACCTTCTCTCTGTTCCCTCTTGCCTCAATTCCTACCCATCATCTCCCACCTCTTTTCCTCACAAACTTCTCCAGAGTCCACACAGAGATTTATTCTCCAGCTTCAGTATCCTCAAGGAGTCACTTTGTCCCTCTGGATGAGGAACAAGACGTCCCATCACTTGGCTTTTCTAGGATAATCTTCCAAGGGTTTATCTGAGGAAGATGACTTTGAGACCTACATCCTTCCGTGAGGAATACCGAGGTGGTTTTTCCCCCAAAACTTGTTCGACCACCAGCAGATTGTCCAGGTTCCCTTCCACAGGAGCCGCTGGAACTTCGCCGTCGGGAATTCTGACGGTGTTGTGTAAATCTTCCCCTGAAATGATGTTTTTGAGGAACGAAGCCGCCAGCTGTGCCCCTTTGAAGCCCCGGGACGTGCCAGGCCCCGTCCCCGCGCGCGGAGCCGCGCTGGGGGCACACAGGAGGTCCCCCCGCCCGCCATCGTTGCTTTACAGTGGATGTCTCTTTTCTGGTGGGCGTTTGAACTCTTTATTCTTTGTCCATTGTAAAGGGCTTAACGGTTCCTGTGCCTTGATTCTTTCATCAGTGAAATGTTTTGGAAGAGAGGTTAGAGTCCCCCTGTGACCTGCCCTGGGTGGCCCAAGCCTGTAGCCCTTGCAAAGACATTACTTTTTTGGCCTGAACACAAACCCCTCAAACCTTTAGCCTGGCTAAATGCTTTGTACAAACAGCCGCATACTGATCTGCTCTATTCTCCTGTGATTTTCTGCTCAAGGGGCTGTACTGTGGGTTGCTTGCTATGTTTGCCACTTGCCTTGGTAGTGAAGACAGAACAATAAACGAATCCGACAGTACTGAGGCCAACACTGTGCTTTGGTTGTTCCGAGAAAATTATCCTGAAATCTGGTTGAAGAGATTAAAACCAAGAAGAACTGGCTGTGTCTCTCCTCTAAAGCTCCGTTCTCTTCTTTGTTTCTTCTTTTTTATTTTTTTTCTTTCTCCCCCTTTAAGACTTCGTTCATTCCTCCTTCAGACTAAGTTGGTGGCATTGGTATGTAAAGTGTGACCTACGATCACAGGAGTACGGCCGTGGGGTGAAGCGTTGCATTCATTCCTGCCCGGGCTCCTCCTGGCCAAGGGCTGGAGCGGCTTTCTTGGAGTGTCTGGGCCGTGTTCTCCCTCTCGTTTCTCCTCTAACACGAATCATATCAGCTCATTGCGCTGGTTGGATGTCAGTTGTGGAATCATGGAATGGTTTGGGTTGGAAGGGACCTTAAAGATCATCCAGTTCCAACCCCCTGCCATGGGCAGGGACACCTCCCACTGGGAGGTTCCAGTGCATTGTTAATTCAGTAGAGCTTCTTCTTTTAGTGAGAATTGCTCTTCAGACAAGTGTTGGTTCAATGTTGGACCATCATCATGTGCTGTGGGGAAGAGCAGTGTCACTGCACAGCTCTCTCAGCCTTCCTCCCATATGATTCCTGAAGAATCACAGAATCACAGAATGGTTTGGATTGAAAGGGACCTTAAAGATTCCAACCCCCTGCCATGGGCAGGGACACCTTCCACTAGCCCAGGTTGCTCCAATCCCCATCCAGCCTGGCCTTGGACACTTCCAGGAATGGGGCAGCCACAGCTGGGAACAATGAGAAGGGATGATGGGAAGAGACAGCTAAAGGTGAGCTGCTGATGAGCAACCACATCTTGAACTGGAATCTCTCTCGGGTTGCTCATGAGCAGATGACAACAGTGACAAATTCACGGGTGTCGTGAAAACATCCCCAGTCACAGCCGCTTTTTCATGAGGGTTTGACGTTCATGCTTTTGGGAGGATCTTAAATTTCACAACTCCCTGTGTGCCTCTCAGTCGATTCCTACCAGCTGCAAAGCCCTTCATCCAAAATAGAAAACCCGCTTTCATCGCGGCCCTTTCAGGGTTTTGCTTCCCAGTGTTCCTCCAGATATAATCAGGAACATGATGTGACCCTGTCCTTGGATGGTGGGACACTGGGACTGGATACCTCAACCCAGGGATGTCTGAGCCACCCAGGGGAGTTTCATCCCTTGGGAAGATGCTCCAACACTGTTTCTCACATCTAAATATTTTTAGCTTCTCAGGTATGTGCTTTTCCAAAGTGGAGCTGGTTTAGGATTGATGTGGCTTTGGGGATAATTTTTCCAGATGAGACAGTGGGGTGCAGAGGGAATGTGTGAGGATGATTTATCCCTTGCAGATCAGAGGCAGAAGGCTTGGGTTAGTCCTCCCTTGTGTGTGTGCGCTGGCTCGGGCAAGCTGCAGGCAAGTTTTACAGCCAACATACATTAAAATGCCTTTACAGTTAGAATTAATTAAACCAGTTTTCTGAGGGGTAAATGTAAACTCCCTGTGTCCTGAATATTGCAGGACTGGGCAGTGAAACTGGCTGGAAGCTGAACAGCTCCAATCTCATGGAATCATGGAATGGGTTGGATTGGAAGGGACCTGAAAGCTCATCTCATTCCAACCCCCTGCCACGGGCAGGGGCACCTTCCGTTATCCCAGATTGCTCCAAACCCCTTCCAACCTGGCCTTGGACACTTCCAGGGATCCAGAGGCAGCCACAGCTTCTCTGGGCAACCTGGGCCATGGCCTCCCCACCCTCCCAACCAACAATTCCTTCCCAATAATCTCTGTCCAGTCCTATCCCGTGCAAAACTCTGCAGGCACAACCACGGATGGTTCCTCCTGGCTCTGATTTGTGCTTTTCCTATCCAAAACCGAGATGGGAGCGATCCCATCCCTAATTTCGCCTTGTATATTTTCATTATTCCTCTCGAGTAGCAAGGTGGGATAAAAGTGCTGGTTTTCCAGGCGTGTTTGCTGCTGTCCTGCAGCAGTTCTCACTTGACTGATCACCGTGAAGATGAGCGATGGCTCCAATCTCAAAGCTCTTCTGGCATCTGAGACTATTAAAAGGCAGAGCTGTGGGTGTCTGAGAAGTGGCCACAGTGCCCCTGGAGGTACCTGTGTCTGTGTTGAAGGATGTTCTCCATCCCAAGGTTTTAATGGAAGGTGGAGCAAGAGAAAGTTGACGAATAACCCTTCTTTGCTTCCCAGAAATAAGGGCTGAATCCTGGTGTCTAATTCATTAATCTTCTCGTTAGAGCCATGGGGCTGCTCCTGGGATGGGGCTGCTCTAGGAAGTCTTTCAAAATAGGAATGTGATGATTTATTTTCCTTCTTCTGTGGCATTTGCTTGATAGGTTTTGGAAGGAGAAGCGTTCAAGGAGAAGACCATCTGGCATGAAGTGACTTTGTCCATTAGTCCCTCTGATTAGCCACAGAGACAAAAGGCAAAATCCTCCTTCCTTGTTGTCGAGCCATCCTTAATCCTCATCTTTGTGGAGCTTTAGGAGCTGTTCTGAGGATCTCTGTGGAGTAAAAAGCAGGATAGTTGGGCAATAATGGGCCGTATAAGTGTAAAATCTATGTGCTGGTGTATATTTTCCTCTCCCTTCTTCCTTGTCACTCAATCCCAAGAAAACATTTCATTCCACATGCGGCATCTCCAGGGCCGAGGGCAGACGCTCCCTCTCGAGTCTTTGGCGACGTCGAGTTGTGGCTTCACAAACAAAGCCCCCTGGGTGCTGAAAGGAGCAGAGAGGAGATAAAGCTGTAACCAGAGAGGGTGAAAGCGAAGTGAAGTCGGGCAAAACCAACCTCAGGCGCGTCGTCAAAAGGCGCCCTCGGATACGTGTGGCCATTGGCTCCGCGGGCAACGCCGAGCAAAAGCCGCTAAGAGCCATGGAAGGACTAAAGTCCTCTGACACGGCTTCATTCAAGTGGGTTTAGGTTTGGCTTAAAGGATGGATTAGAAGGAAAAATGAATGACCAGAGTATGAAATTTTGGCCAGGTTACACTGGGGAAGGAGATAAACGTGGCCCTTGGGAATATTCTCTTCGCCTCAGAAGCCGACGTTATTGTGTTGTCAGATGTCTTCATCCACCGGGAATCAACGTGCCACCCAACGGTTCTTCCCGAGAGCGCGCCTCCACCAGATCATGCAAATGCCCAGTAATTAATGGTGCTGCCGGGCATATTTTTTTGATGAATGCTCATGGGGCCTGGTGACAGGCGTGAAATTAGAAAATTCCTTCAGCGCCCTAAAATATAAATAGCTTTCGGAACTGAAAAGGAGTTTTCACAGCTGAAGATTTTATTGTGTCGAGAGGAAAAACTTTTTCCACCCCCACGTCCCCCCTCTTTCTTCTGGGCGAGTTGTTTGTCCGTTCACAAAACAAATACTCTGGAGCCCAGTGCGGCTCATGGGAATAAATTTCAGGTCGAATTAGTACAGTTTCCTTGCTGTCAGGACGGTGGAATTAATGGTGTTTTGATGACACGAATTTTGAAGGGCGAACAAAGACGCTGAAGGGAGGGAGACATGACTCCTTAGAAGCGCGGTCCTCCTCTCCCCCAGCCTCTCTTGTCTTCCCTGTCATCCGTCTGCCAATCTCCCTGTCCATGGTTAGTTAAAGGCGCTTTTTATCCTCTTTTCTTTCCCACAGAGTTTGCCAGATCCGGCCCAGTGCCTGGGTTCCAAGGGGACACGCTGCAGTTGGCCTTCATCGACTTGAGACAAGTAAGTCTTTGTGTTTTTGTTTTTTGTTTTTCTTTTAAGATGTGTGACTGAAGACCATCAGGTCTTAAGGGAAGGGGAGAGGAGGGGAAACGGCGTCAGTGATTTACGCCAGAGACCTATATTTCCCCCCCTCCTCCTCCTCTCCTCTCTCGAAGCCACCTCCTTATTGAGCGCTCCGGGGCTCCTGGAGGTGGTGGAGGTGAAAAGGGCTGGTGGGATGAGGGTGAGGAAGAAAGCCAGGCCTGACCCTGGGCCGGTGGGGCCCATTGTGCTCCCGTTGGCTTCTGCGGCCGCGGCGCGGAGGGAACGCGGCGGCTCCGCGGGCGGACGCCGAGCAGGTGGTGGAACAGAGAGAGCAGTGATGCAGAGCCCGCCCGCCTCGGGGACTTTTGTTCCCAGATAATGCCCCCAGAGGCGTTTGGGAGGGCAGGGGGGATTTGCATTCCCCTGTGTCCGTGCCCCTTCGGAGGTTGTGGCCCTCTCTGGCTCGGCCACCCCCCCCTCCCCGGTCCCCTCTTCCCTGGCCATGAATGACAAAGTGGCTCTTGGGGAAGGTGACTGGGGAAGGCTCCACCCATCGGTGGCCACCTCTGGAGGGGGCCCCGTTAGAGCCAAGTTGACCATAGCAGGTAGTGAGGCATCTGTGGGGCTTGGCAAGCCAGTTTAGGGAAAAGGGCCATTCTGGGGAGTCATTTGTTTGGGGTAGAAATGGGCATTATTGATACACTAGGCTGGGGGGAAAAGTGAGGTGGTCCTGTCATCTCTTGGCACCGAAGATGGATGGGTTGGATAGAAAGTCTGAATGAAGTAAGACTCAATGACTGATGCTTCTCTCCTATTAAAACAATCTTTTTTTGTCTGTTAAACCCCCCTGGCTTTGTCCCTCCTGCCATCATGATGCAGTGCCTCTTGTTTTCAGGGTTGACGTAGCTTGCATTCTGAAAACTTTCGGGTGCCGAGGGTATTTCTTCAATCTGCATAATCCCTTGTATCGATGATCTCCTACCACTGGGGCTCTGATTCACGCTTGGAGTCGCTTTTTAACCCGTCAGGGTTTGAGAACTTCTCAGAAAACCCAATTGATGCGCGGGCAGCAATTTGTCATCCCGCGGCGCTTGTGCAGAGCAGCGAGACGTTTTAATAACGTGGAGGTGCCTCTTTTCGGTCTCGGGCCTGCCAGGAGCTGCCAAAGTTGTTTGCAGAGCGGTCAAAGTAGCTCCGTGGCAGAGGTGTGTGTTATCACTGCCCTGCCTTGACACTTTTGTCTTCATTAGCTTCTTGGCACTTCGTTGACCGGGGGGACCCCACGCGCCCGCGGCCTCCCGGGTGTGAGGAGACGTGGAGGCTTTGGGCCTCTTCCAAGCCTCAGGGTGGGAATGCAGGGGTTCTGAAGAGGAAAAGCGGTGGCTGTTTGAAGAGTGAAAGGCCTTCAAAGTGCTCAGAGAGGTTCAGCCGTGCTGAGGCAGGGAAATAAATGTGTGTGTGGTTCAGAAGTGCAGAGCTCGGCCAAGGGAATCCACCTTGGGGGAGGAGAAGGCTGAGCCTGCTCCTCTGGCAGATGGTCTTATTTGTACATGGAGGTTTTCCTCTTTGTTTGGGAAGGGAATCCCAACTTTTTTTATTGTATTTAGAAGGATATCTGAATTTCAAGGCCAGGTTGGATGCACTCAGAGCAGCCTGGTCTGGTGGAGGGTGTCCCTGCCCATGGCAGGAGGTTGGAACTGGATGATCTTGAAGATCCCTTCCAACCCAAACCATTCTATGGTTCTGTGAGTATTGCGAGGAGAAAGGCAAGATGCTCTTGCCTGTGGACTGTCAGGTGAGGACAGGCAGGGTCTTCTGGATCACAGGGATGCTTGTTGATGCCCACTGTTGTACAGATAATGGACAACACCTCACTGCTCCAAGCAGAGAAGGTTCCACCTATCACTGCCGTATCAAGTTTAGCAATAGCATGGAAAGGTGAGATAGTTCTAAGATCCCCTGGTCCTGACAGTGGCCTGTGGGTCACCCAACTCCATCCATGTGAAGCTCTGTTGGCTCCTTTGTGGCCATCAGAGCCCCAGTGCTCCCACCACCGTGGTGCTTCTTGCTGGACTGCAGTTCCAGCTGGGAGCAGGGCAGAGCTGGGAAGGTGGATGGATGAAAGCACGGCAAGGAGAGGTCTTTGTTTTGTTCTTCAAGTTGGTTTTAATTTGTTCTGTTTGGACATTGTGTTCTCTGTCTTTTAAGCCACCGAATTGAACTGAAATAAGGCAGGTTTAAATTAGATCTCGGGAAGATGTGAGGGTGGGCAGGCCCTGGCACAGGTTGCCCAGAGAAGCTGTGGCTGCCCCTGGACCTCTGGAAGTGTCCAAGGCCAGGTTGGAGCAAGCTGGGGCTAGTGGAAGGTGTCCCTGCCCATGGCAGGGGTTTGGAACTGGATGATCTTGAAGGTCCCTTCCATCCCAAACCACTCTGTGATTCTGGGAAATGTTAACACAATATTGACTTAAAAGATACCACCTGGAACTGTTTGTGCTTCTGGCTGTTTTCACTGGGCAAAAATGCACCAAAACAGGGAGGTTAAAGGGATTTCCCCTCCCTTCCCAACATAGTTCAGTAGTAGCTGTTACAGAGCAATTGTAGATCAGAGAAAAAATTCAAAATAATGTGAGATGATCAAGTTTAGGGGAGTGACCAAAATTGATTCTTGGTACAGTAAAATATGAAGTGATAGGAAAATGTGGTGACTTTGTTTATGTCTTGAATACAGATCCCTGCAGTGGGAAATAAACACTGAAAAGGTGCTGTCTGGGGACATCAGAGCTCCTCCTTGAGTACATTTCTGGCCTGATTTTCCTCTTGTGCTCAAGGAAATTGGGAGCAAATCCATCACCATGTGGTGAAGAGGAAAAGAGTCAAGCCCAGATGATCAAAATCACTCTTCCGAGCAGACAGTAATTTAAAAAGGGACTTTTTTTCCCATCCTGGGACAATTCTAAATCCACAAGTACCTCTAATGAAGTGCTAAAATAAACCAAGTTTCATCTCAAATCCTTCTATAGGAGTGAGACTCGAATATTTAAGGTTTTACAAGGAAACAATGGTTTTCCCCCTCGAGTTTAACTTTGCTCTTTCCCCCTCAGTGCTGTGTTTTAGAAATCTGCACTGAATCTAATCCCACAAACAACCTTGTTAAAATGTGAAATAACTGAGTCTTCTGCCTCTTGCTTTCAACCATTGGATGTCCAAATCCCTCTGAGGATCTCCAGGAGCTTTGGGATCAGCCCAGAGCCTGCTCTTGGAATCAGTTCCCAGTTTTCTCCCCAGGTTCTGGCCAGCTGGGAATGCTTTAGCTCTGCGTTTCCATGGGTTTGTTGTGAGCAAGGGAGTGGAAGAGGAAGGTTTGATGTTTGTCTGTGGAGCTGCTGCAATCCAGAGCCACGCTGATCTCCCCTCACAGCCAGATCGACGCTCGTGGCCGCCTTCCAAGGGGAATCTGTGTCCAGCACTCCAAGAATTTCACTCTGGGCTCCGATGAGGGAATGTAGGGGATGGATTAGAGCTCCTTGCTCCAGGCCTCTCTCTCCCTCTGTCCAGGGAATCATAAATCCCGTGTGTTGAATTTCCTCTGCAAGCGCAAAATTCAGCGTCGAGGGAGATTTGGGGAAAGGCAGGTGGGAACCCACCTGGTTGGAGGGACGTGGCTGTGCAAGGGATGAGGACAGGGGGATTCCACTCCTCTCCATCATTTTCCTGATTTATTTAATGGTTGTGACTTGATGGGTTTGAATTTCAGCATCAGCTCTTCAAAGCCCAGCAGTGAGGTCAAGACAGACAAGATCGGGGTTAGATGGGATATTGGGAAGGAATTCCTGGCTGGGAGGGTGTTGAGGCCCTGTCGCAGGTTGGGCAGAGCAGCTGTGGCTGCCCCTGGATCCCTGGAAGTGTCCAAGGCCAGGTTGGAGCAACCTGGGCTAGTGGAAGGTGTCCCTGACCATGGTAGGGGGTGGCACTGGAAGGTCTTTAAGGTCCCTTCCAACCCAAACCATTCCCTGATTTTGTGTTTACTGCTTTTCCCATAACAGATATTTTGTGTGTGTTTTCTCATATTGGAAAGCCAGTTGTGGTTGTTGTGGGTTCCTGTTGGATCCCAGCCCAGCTGGGGAATGAAAGGTCTCCCTCTGATGCGTTAATTTTTCTCTTATTACCTCTGATAGAGATGCTTAATAAAAGGTTGCTCCCCTCAGGAACACAATTCCCATCTATCCCTTTCCTGTAATCCCAGACTGGTTTCCCAGGGAATGGTCATGGCCCCAAACCTTCCAGAGCTCAAGGAATGTTTGGGCAATGTTGTCAGGGACAGGGTGGGATTGTTGGGGTGTCTGTGCAGGGCCGGGAACTGGATGGATGATCCTTGTGGGTCTCTTCCAACTCAGGATATTCCATGATTCTACGAGATGTATGGCCCTTTCTCCTGCTGCTTCCATGTGGTCCAGGCTTCCATATCCAGCTCAGGGCATAGTGAAGGGAAAGCCCCTAAAAATTTGGACCCCTTGACATGACACTGAAGGCTCTGGCCACCTCTGTGCTCTGGAAGCAGAGGCATAGTGATGGTGGGAAGGTGGAGATGATCCCTCCAAGCGTTCCAAGGGACCATCCAGAACAACATTCCCACCATTCCCACCAGACAGGAAGCTTTGGGTTGGGGTTTTTTTAACCTGTTTTTATATATTTTGCTGTTAAATGTGATTTAAAGACACGAGATATCTGAGGAGCAACATGAAAACAAGACACCGGGTGAGCCTCCGAGCCAGCCCTGACTCTGCTGCTGGGGAAACTGGTCTGGCTGATTTTTTTCCCGACTTGTTTTGCTGGTAGATCCGACAGAAGCTGGAAATCACATTAAAGGGCTGATCAATTAAATGAACTATCCCGGCGAGGTGTCTCCTCTCCGCATGTACTTGCTTGTGTCTCCCAAGGGCTCTGTTGGAGGAGGAGCTGCAGACAGATGAGCA